AAGGCCGTGAGCTATAAAAGGGTGACTTCCCCTTCACCCTCTTTCAAAACCTGTTCTAGTGCAGGGGTGATACGCGTGGAAGTGAAGGTTTATCCTGATCCCGTGTTTTTGCCAATTGGTAAGTCATCATCACCATTATCATCGTTACGAGGTTTGGGAACATAAACTAACGCGATTCTGTGTTATTAGAAAACTATACAAAGACCAGTCGTCTTGGATTATATCCAATACGCAATTTTTCGATTTCAATCACGATAGAAGGTCTATCCTTCCATTCCTTTTTCATTGACTTCTAGGCAATGACCTACGGGTTGAAGAAATTGGTTTGGGTGAACACTATCGTATAGATGCCGGATATCTATCTTGCCAGTATCTTAACCGTTGCCGTGCCCGAACAAAGCCGCGCCCTAGATCCTCCCCGATGAGGTGCTACACCTGGGATACCTATGCATGATGCATGCCCTCCTTCCCTGACTTGAGGGGTCTATCATAACGGCGAATGCCCGACGGAGCAATATTGCAATAATCTTAGGCAGTCTACCAATGACGAAAGAGATACGGCTTGATTGTCGCTGCTGGGATAGACGGGACACTATCACTGCCACCTAGAGAGACAGCACACATATCAAACATTCTGATTTGCTTATGAAAACTTTAACCCTCGCATTTGCTCCTATACGAGATGCAATGACCCATCGCGTCAAAAAGGCATTGGTTGGCGAACGGCAATCATAGCAATTTTCTGTCTTGTTGACAAATGCTGCAGGTTGGACGGCTGCGTTGGTGGAGGGCTGATAGCCATCGATACTAGTTAGGCCATATCCATCCTGCCGAAAAGAGCTAATCGCATTAATCTCCATTTTTGATGGTTATAAGCCTCTGGTCTCTGGATTGGCAAATGGCCCGTTATTCCTCAATCCGCCAGAGTCACGATTTACGATTAGAACCCGATATCAGAACGAATCTTGACATCAAAAATGGGGGTTAATGCGTTAGTGTCCTTTCCATTGCGTGAATGCGTGGAAATCACTGAATCCTCTACAAATCATCAAATGCCTTTCAAAAACCAAGCATTGCCGCGGAAATCGGAGCATCTATATAGTATGCAATTCAGAAGGTCAATAGCACAGCTATGTCGAAACCGGACCCATTCAACATCATCAACAGCGTTGTGTTCGAGGTCGAGAAGGAATCTTTGAGTCAAATACTGGATTCAGTGGTATTACCTCAGAATTCTGACTCCGATGCCTTCACAATTCCTACAGCTGGTGTCCCAGAATATCAAGGCTTCCTTAGACTCCTGTTGCCGACTCCGGATCTCAAAAGTGAGGAGGACGGTGAGGAGAAAAATCTATCTTTATTCCATATGCGTCATCGCCTTTAACATCACCACCATCTGGGAATGGGGCTACATATCCAGCGGCGCTTGGGATCTTCACACATCTATCAGGCTTCTCGTTGTCATCAAATGCGGTAAAGTTACAAAGGAGTGGGAGGGAATGCAGATGGAACTGCGAGAGACTCAAGAAGTGGGGGTGAGAGAATGGGAGAAACGGGAGAAGTGCGAATTGGAGGAGTAGGAGGTTTGGAGGAGTAGGAGGTTTGGAGGCCCGGCGTGGGAGATGTGGGGAATCTCGATGTGAGGTGTGCGAGGCGTGCGAGGTATATGCGAGGTGCCGAAAATGTGAAACACTAAAAAGAGATGACCCGAGGACATGAGGGCCACTGTGACAGGAATCTAACAAGGCAGGGCAAGGCAGGGCAAGGCAATGTAGCTGGCAGAGTGGAGACCAACGGGATGTCATGCAGGAGAGTTCACGAAGATCATGCTTTACGTCGGTCCCGTCTATTTCTTCGCCATCGAAAAAGCAGTACAGGCACAAATGCTGCGGCTGGACGAGCGGCCGAGCAATCTGCCCATATTTTTGACCCCTCAATTGCTTGACAGATCTTCACCATATTTGATAAACTGTCATCGCTGAGATCTATTTCCGGATCTCTAGAAAGGCCGTCAATAAAATCCTAGACAAATGGTACGTTATTACAGATTTAGTCCCAATCTCCGGGATTTTATATTCATCCGGAGTGCAGCCGGTCTTGCACCTACGGATAGTGCCTTCCATTTATAATTATTGACGGGGCCTAGGATTTTATCAGGTGAGGCTGGAATCCCGAGTTCTTCTCGAATTTGAACCATGCTGGTTTTGGTTCCCAGCTTATCGCAAACCAAATAGCTGTACTCTTCCACCGTTTTTGGAATCAAGTTTGCACCAGCGGTAGCTGAGGATGATATCACTGGTGTGGCCGGCGCTGGGTTCTGGTCTAAACTTCCATCGTCTCGCAATGTAGACAACACTTCAACGGCTGTTGCAAAATCCACGGACGGCTGTCATCCACACGTACGCCGGTGTGCTGCAAAGGAGACAAGCTGCTCTCTCGGGTTGACGACGACGAACCTAGGTTCGAATCTGACATGATGAGGCAAGCGGCGTGTGGAAACGTTAACACGGTGGTTTTGGTGCACAAAAATCTGGCGTTTCGGCGGGCAGCGAGAGGGCCAATTGGTGAGGGGGAAAATCTTTGGACTTTTAGGGATCCTGATTAGCTCGGACTCGGCTAATTCGTCCGCTCCTCGAGTTCCATCTCAGGCCTCAAGTTCGATCTACGTCTACCGAGGAGTTTAATATTATCATCCAATCATTGCTTGTATCCTTTACCTCCGTTGTGGCCTCGTTCCCGCACTGACCCCTGCGCAGTGCAGATACCTCTTATCATCATTTAGAGTGCCGTGTAGTGTTACTTGCAGCATACGTTGTTCGACCCTTGGCCTTGTCATCCAATCCAACCCTCGCTTCAGGGGTCTTCCGCCGCATCCGCGTAGAAGCTTAAGCTAGCTAGAAGAACCGAAGCCGTACACCGTAACTACCATAAAAATCATGCATGGAGTCCACGAAAGGTCCACCCCTCTGTATGCCTAGCTCCGCACTCCTTGCAACTCCGATAGTAGCAGTAGCGCTTTTGATGATTTGTGAATCCCCAGTATATCATGGATGAACTTTCCGAGAATTGAGGGCCACCTATGGCACCACTCACTAAAACGTAAAGGTCTAGCTCTTTCTTTGTCTAGAGGTTAACAAAATATCCGCTCATAATATCAAGTAGACAAAAACTATGGCGTTTTTGTGGTTACCGTTGAAGTTATAAGCCTCTGGTGTCTGGATTGGTAAATGGCTCGTTATTCCTCAATCCGCCAGAGTCACGATTTACGACTAGAACCCGATAGTTGGTAGAGAACTTACGTGTGTTGTGCGATGGCAGAGCGTGCAAAAGCAGCACCTCCGACTAGAGCGCCAAAATAAGCTAGAGAGATTCAGAAAGTTAGCTATGTTTGGTAGTGGTTAGAATTGGTAAATTGATGGTGTCGACGTTTGAGGTTCGATTGTCGTTGGTGGACGCACCATGTAGGCCACTTGGAAGAAGATGAACGGGATAAGGTTCTATTATTACGAATAGGCTAGCTACATATTTACTTAAATACATTTATCCGATAACAAAACACTGCAAAGACCCGATAGAGAGCTAACCGAGTTGCGAATGTTGCAGACGGGACGCAGAGCTCTACCGAAACCATGTCCAAGTGCACAGTAGCCTCGAGCCTACAACATCAAGCCAACGAAACCCGAGCCTAAAAGACGATAGCAAAATTGCACTCGTACCCACCATGTCCGATCAAGCCTCCTCGTCGTCTCACGGCCACCAATCGGATTTTGCAACAGCTGTTGAGGTGTTGTCCAGATTGAGAGATAACGGGAACCCCGCACTCTTAATATTAACAATTTCGTCGTCAGCTGATGTAGCAGCCCACTTAATTCCATAAATTCAAAAAGAATACAATTATATGATATGTGATAAATTCAATATTAAAACAGGCATACCTAAAGTTCAAACAGAACTTAAAATTCCATTATTAAATCATAACATTATCGGGCCAATCAACAATTTTAAATGGAAGGCTCTCTCTGTAAGCGCGAGATTTGTATTTTGATAACCCCGCAACAACCGATAAATCTAGAGAAGTTTAGCTCTTGGATAGCAAACGGGATTTAATAATCTACTGCACTACAAAGCTGGCGGCCGACATCTGGCTCACGGTACCTGGCGGATCTGACTTTCCTATTAACTAAGTGTTCCTATATATGCACGCAGGATTTTATCAATAATCTCTCCACGGAATATAACTTGGACAATGAAAGCCTTTTAAATATAATGAAAATTAGCTAAAGTATTGAAAAATTAGTAGTATAGGCAGATTATTCACCAATATGATTGGTTGCAATATTTATTCCTGTACTGCTTTATTAATGGCGAAGGAACTAACAAGATCGTCCAAATTTGCGTAAGGTACGGTTTCGATAAACATCTTTGTCGTATTTCTTGTAATTACATCTTTAGCCCCTTGACCACTCCGCTGCACTGTCGCCATTGGTCTCTGTCCGCTGTCCTGTTTTGTATAGATATTTGTCTCTCTCATTGTCCGGCATGGTCGGCGTAGGCACCTGTCCCACCACCCCTGTCATCCAGCCGAGCTCTCGCTTCATGAATTCACGGGCCATTCACGAACAAGGAACAAGGCTATAACCTGAAAATCATCGCCCTTCTAGTGGGTCTGGATCCACCCTCCTTGCAGCTCCAATGGTACTGGTAACCTACATGTGTGTTATGTCGGGAATATTGAATGGCTTTTTGGTGCTTTTGTGTATTCCCAGTTGTATCATAGACGAGTAATCATAGACGATCAATCCGAGAATTGAGTGTCAGGTACAACACCACCTACCAAAACATACATCAAAAAAGCGATGCGCTATGCGCCCGCCTGGACAGTAACAGACCTCAAAGTAGAATTCTAGACCAGAGCTAACTATAGAACTGGAGTGTATTTCCTTTTCTTGACACCATCTTTACTATTCAAATATGCATAATAACCAAAGATTTACAACACTGGCTTCATGGTCTAGTGGTATGATTCTCGCTGAAAGTACCCCCATTCAAAATAATTATTTGTACGAACATCAAACTAATACCTTCCACAGTTGGGTCGCAGTTTCTGCAATCTTGCGAGAGGCCCCGCGTTCGAATCGCGGTGGAGCCCGTTACTTTTTTTTTCTCTCAAACTTTCTTTTTTTGCTTCGGTTTGCCGTCGAGACTCCTCTGCTAATTGCCACACTTTCAACACATTCAACACAAACAGGATGGTATATATCTCAATTAGGGCCAAACTCACTGAGCGGAGTCCCAGCTCATATCATCATCAAAAATCTAGGAAATAACTTTTGGTAAAACATCATAATAGTCTACGGGCCATGGTAATTTTCTCGGGAATGGGGTTGGGTGAATATTTTAGGCAGAAGCTGCAAGCTCTCACCACTCCCTGTTGGTTTCTGCTGGTTTCTGCTGGTTTCTGCTGGTTTCTATTGGTTCTTATTGGTTCCCATTAGTTCCCACTAGTTTTATAGTCTCGTAGTATTGGTTTTTACTGGTTCCACTGGGTTTTACTGGGTTTTAAGTGGCGGTTGACAACAATGTTTGATGCCACCCTAAATGAAAATTTAGCAAAGAAGCGGGGAAAAAAATATATATATATAGTATATAAAAAAAAAAAAAAATTGTGGAAATCCAGCTGGTGAAGCTTCGTTTGATGAAATATTGCGAATCAGGGCCGTTTGAAAATGTTATTTCTATGAAAGTGTAGACGACTAAATATACCGTGTTAGAACCTTTTCACGGGCCTAACATCGTGGAATCGTTTTTTTTGTGCCTAATGCCGAGTAGACCATCTTCCACATCCGCTGTAACTTGTAAATGTTTAGTGAGACGCTGTTCCGATATGATGATCCAGAATCTTCGGTTGCTACTATTTATGCCGCCTTCGGGTCCTCTTTCTCATACAACCAATTCAATCAAAACAAGCAAATATTTTTTTCCTTTCTGCATCCTTTGATTCGTTTGGAACCAGTTGAAGCGACTTATCCAGCTACTAATCAGCCGACACCGATTTGTCCGCTCTTTCGTTTCGCGTGATTAGATCGCTTCAGAATAAGTGCCACGATCAAAAATACATTTGTTAGTTCTAAACTGTGTTACGGTTTGTCCCTGCATTGTTAACCCGATAACCACCTGTATTATCGTGACCCCCTGGCTATTCCGTGCAATACGAATCTGGGGGTCTTGATGGTCTCGCGAGATCACGTTGCCAGACAACACAAAACTCAAGCATGTCAACGTGGTATAGTGGAAACGAATTCTGATGCAAACTTCCAACTTAAACGCTATCATGCATTAAAGTTTACCGGAGTCCCCGACTTCGCCCTCACCACACGGCCACAACACAGGTATAACCTGTTGCATTTGATGGCAAGCAACACGTCGCGACGTCCGCTCAAGCACTCTATATCCACGCGCTCGGCTGCGGAAGATTTATGATTGCTCAAACCGGTCCGGCCTCCATCACAAATACTGGCTGGCTTCATGGTCTAGTGGTATGATTCTCGCTGAAAGTACCCCCACTCCAATATCATACAATGTATACGAACTTTAAACTAATACCTGCCACAGTTGGGTCGCAGTTCCTGCAATCTTGCGAGAGGCCCCGCGTTCGAATCGCGGTGGAGCCCCATTCTTTTTAACTTTTATACCTTCGATGGTATTGTTATATATTTTTTTGTTTCTGCCAGGCTAAAGTCATTTCATCTATGTGAGGCTCGCGGGACTGGCTAGAGATTTGGGGCTTTAGAGGCCGCGGAAGCTTAGAAATAGTCGACCAGTCGTGTAGTTTGCCCATAAAAACACCAACCACTAGCTACTAGGAAGTGACTCAACGTTCGGGAACACCCTAGAAATTATACTCGTACACTCACAAATCACGAGACAAAGGAAAGTGATTTTACAAGCACATGCCTAGTTACATCCAGATACATACAATCAATCCCCAACGGCCAAATTTGGAAGGGGCCGAAAATATTGGAAACACAAACACTTAGGTAAGCTTGTTTCTGTACTGTTTATTTTACTGGCTATACCATAGTAAATTTACTTGAAATATTTCCAAGTAATTAGCCGCTGAATACGTTGCAAATCGACTGATATGCATATATGCCTACTATTACTTAGCATGCCTACCCCACCGCATATTGGACTAGATGGCCTGTTTACTACGTGTAACTCTCAAGCGCAAGTTAAGTTAATTCAGATTCGCTGAGGTATAGGTCTAAAAAGATTTCTAATCATATTCGCATTGGCAATCTGCATCGTGCGCAGCTGCGTACTTTATATAAATTGAGATATCTAGTATGAGAAATCGCCCAATCCTAGTTACATTACCAGATTGGGCTTGTATCTGTAGACAATAGAAAATCCAACACTAGCAACACAAAGCAGCGGTAGGGTAAACCTCCAAGGTGAAGTGGCTCTAACTTCCTTATCGAAGTTTTGGATTTTGTAGCTCTTATTATGTCCAGAGCCCCTCGTTCTAGATAGCCACCACAAGTTTTTTTTTATCAAACTAGTAGTAGGCATAGTTGTTCATTGGATCCTTATTCTTGCTCGCTTCATGGAGGGCTGCCTTTTCATCCCCGCTAATATTCTCATTTTCAAGTTCTTCCGCAACGCCTGTGTCATATTTTTCTCCTCCCATTGCCGCTTTGATTTCCTCTTTAGTGGGTTTCTTATCGGCAGGCTTTGGTCTGGGGGCAGGTTTCTTAGCATCTTCCTTTTCGGGGGCAGGATTATAGCCATAGCCGTAAGTCTCCTTTTCAACGGTAACAGTTTGAATCTTAGTCACCACAACTGTCTCCTTAGGCGATTTGGCGCTGGTGATCACGACAACCTTCTTGGTTGCCACAGGCTTCTTGACAGGTCTTATTTGCTGGACTGGTATACAACCGCCGAATGGACCGTTCCTAAAGTGCCGGGGTTAGAAAATCGTATACGTATTATGCGATGTGAGAACATTGTGGAATTACTCACTCAGCATTATTTTCACAACGGACTATACAGAGATCTTTGACGGTGCCAGATTCTCCTTGGCAGTTGAGATCCTGTGGCATATTTATTGTGAACCAGCATTCCTTTTGGATGCCGGGCCAAAAGAGGGACTTGTCATCACCAGGACAGTTTTTAGTCACCACCAGATTACGGCTCCAGCTATCCGCAGCCGCCCTGTAATCAATCTTGCACTTGAATGGTCCTGCTCCATCTAAATTTATTTGATAGTTCATTACGCTCAGTGATCCACCGGCTGTAACTTTTGGGATGCCGGTCTTGAGCTGCTGGTTGTTGACTTTGTTCGTTCTCTCCTTCTTGGCCCACTCCTGCCAGGCTAGGTAAGAAAGCCCCTCTTTGACGCTGATATATGCCCCATTCGGAGTGACTTCGTGGAGGAAAGCCCATCTCTTCGCCTCAGATGTTTTCTTCGGGTCCCACATGTCGGGGTGGTTTTTCTGGTACCATCCAGCGACTGCGTCGACGCAAGTTCCGCACCCGTTTGGATTATAGTGTTTCCACCACTTATCGTGTACGATTTTGTTACTGAAGACTGGCACGTCCTTCTGGTGGGGGAAAAGCCATGTGCCCTTGCGCTCTGTGTCATGGCCGTAACCAAGACCGTAGCCACGAATGGTAGGGTCGGCATTTCCGTAGGCATCCACGAAAGCGCCGTGCGCGGATACGATTTCGGCGCCGGCGAGAAGAATGGCGATCGAGCCAGAGAGTGTAGAAAAGTGCATCGTGAAAGAATGTCGTGGAGTTTTAATCCGAAAAGTAAAATGCGGGTGGAAGTAAAGAATGTGGGAAGTAATGAGAGTTGTTTGAAAACGAGTGAAGCAACGACTGAAAGTCCCCTACTTCGCAAATGTGAAGCTGGATCAACGGACGCTGGTGGTGATTGCAATAGAAAATCCTTTCCGCCGTCGTCGTGAACCCTTCTTATAGACATGGTGACTGCAGTGCTGATAGACGTGGTCACTCCGTAGAGGCTAGTCGAAGAGTCCATGATAGGTCTCACTCATGCCACGATCGTGGATCGATTGATTGATCGATTGCAATCGCCAGGGACGTCGGATGGCGATCAGCCGCTTACACTTAACAACTGAGTCCATATTATCATCCTAAAGAAACGTTTACAGCTAGGTTTCGCGATGCCGGACTATTCACACCTCTTTGGGATTACAAGCTGCGCAGGCTGCTGTTTATACCGGCTGTAGCCCACGAGTTCAAGATTCGAGGGCCCGTTTCTCGGGTGTGGGCGTTCAAGCGCAAATAAAGTTTAAAATCTTCGGGTCAGCCGGCATTGTTAAATTTTATATTTTATCGGATCATGTATCGTGACGTCTTAGAAAAACGTTTCAATTCGTATCGAGTCTAAATGTATCAAACTAGCAATGCTCTATCGATTATCAAATCATATCATCCGGACTTTAGAATATACTACCCCCCAAGCTCTGTCAAGTTATTAACCTTCGGGAGCATGGACTACCTAGATCTGGTTAGGAGCAACTGTTTGTGGCAATGGTCAGAGCTCCTAGCATCGAGTCAGGGTCTCAGTTACCAGACCACAGTTTACCGATCTTCGGCAGCCTCGAAAACTGGGGCCGGACACTAGTTACGGATATGCAAACGGCTTACCCAACCAAACGTTGGCACCTGGACATATTGATACAACGCTCATTATTATATAACTTGTAAATATAGCAACTCATGGCAGACCTTAACTCAAAATAGATCACTACTCTTCAGGGAAAATTGATAATTAGTACACAGTTTCAAAATACTGTACAAAAGTACGGGGGAAAACACAAACCCGGGTCCCACCAACACTGCAACTGGTTACTCTCATGTCAATGCCAGGCCTAGACCTGTTAACTAGCTGCTGCGGAAGGAGACCTAAAGCGCCAAGTTGAACCGGCTTCTGATGTTCCCGAATTTTCGTTATCTAAAACACCACGTAGCGGCCGGTGTCTTGGATCCATTGGCAAGACACTCCATATTATGCCGGCTAGTCTATATTTCGGCTAAAAAGCCGAGAGATCGAGAATGTGGCGTTTACTAACACCAAGTTGGTGGTCGATACTCAATTTGGCAGGGGACTTCATGCTC